AGCGGAAAGAGGAAAGAAAGCGAAAGGGAGTCAGTGAATCCGGGGGAAGAGGCGGGAGCCGGAGAGGGAAAGTTAAAGAGCAGAACGCAGAGGTGATGAGACCCCGGTTGCCGGCACTGGCAGCACGAGGCTGGACCACCAGGCGGAGGCGGACAGCCCCGGCTCGCGAATGGGTCCGGAAAGAAACCCGAGCCGCGAGCCTTGTAGTGGAAGCCGGGGGCCAGTTTCGCAGGTCTTCGCCTAGCCCACCTATGGGGAGTCTGGAGGAAGTCGCCAGCTTCGTCCCCACCGAGCTGGCCGGGTCCGCTGAGTGACTGCCACTCCTTAGGGCGTCTGGCAAGGGCTCCTGGAGCCAGAGCCTTGTGTCCTCCATTCCTAAGACCTCATTTGGAGGTAAATGAAAAAGTGAGGGAAAAGGAAGAAAGTAGCAGAGGGAAAAAGTCAAGAAGAAAATAAGAGGGAGAAAAAGAAGGAAAGGAAAAAGAGAAGGAGGGAGGGGGAGAGAGAGAGAGGGAGAGAGACATTTTCTTTCTGGGGTGATTCTGGTTTCGCTTCCTCTTTGTGGTAGCGTACTGAGGGACCGCGTCCCTTCCTAGTGGGGTTCGTTTCCATTCGGCCTCTATTTCTTTCCTAACAGACGGGTTTATATTCAAGTCCAGGGCGTTAAACTATGCTAAACAATGCATCACCCACAGCAAACGTGAAGTGGCGGGGCTGGGGCCCCGGTGGAAATAACTCTAGCTTTATGTAGAGGGATTAAAGTAATCAGAGTAATGCTCGTTCTTTGCTTATGAAGAATAAACGACTAAATGGAACAGGAGGGAAGGTGAGAAGAAGAAGAGGGGTAAAGAGAGAAGAGAGAAGAGAAAGGGGGGAGAGAAGAAAGAAGAGGGGGAGAGGGAAAGAAAAAGGGAGGGTGAGAGAAGGGCAAAAAGAGGGGGTAGGAGAGGGAGGAGAGGAGAGAAGACTGGGGCGGGGGGGGGGGGGGGGGGGAGGTAGGGAGGAGAGAGAGAGTAAATTACTCCTGGCTGCCTAAATTTTCAGCTGGAAAGCCGGGAGAGCTCGCACACAGCAGGGTGGAAGGAGCCTGTTTCAGTCTGGACTACGGTTGAAGTTTAACCGAAATGGCAGTCAGGCCAGTTGAACGGGTTCCTGAAACATCCCAAAAGATTTTCTGTTGCCCCTGGCTTTGCCTGGAAAGGATATGTTTAGTGTGCTTGAAGACCAATCACATATATTCTAAATCTAGGTAAAAAATTGCAGGCTTTAAGCACTAAAGAGGAAAAGGGTGCACAAAAAGTCCCATGCCCTCATAGGTCCTGAAAGAAGAAAGAAAGAAAGAAAGAAAGAAAGAAAGAAAGAAAGAAAGAAAGAAAGAAAGAAAGAA